TGAGACAACTAAGTGTGTAAGAATAAGGTGACTAGTGGCAAAATAAACCATGATATATTCACTTGATAGAGTGTTAAGCAGCCATTTAAAATGTTTACTTAGAGATATGGAAATCTGTCTAAGTAATAACATATCGAAGTGTTTCTCAGTAAATTTTAAATTAAAAAAAAAGGATAAAATTCGATTGATTACAATTCTGTTTTTAAAAACTCCATCTGTTTAAAGACGAGAAGAATGGAAAGGCCTCTCAAGAACAGTAGCATTGTTTGTGTTTGGATGGTGCTATTTTCTTCTTTTAACTTTTCTGAGTTTTCCAGATTTTCTTTGCAGGATATGGATTACTACAAAAACAATAGTAACCTTTCTAAGGAGCCCGACGAAGTCTGTGGTTGCTCAGAGAAGGAAAACCAGTTTTCATTCAGATGTGGAAGCAGCTGAAAAATCCACCAGATGGCATGGAAAAACTCACACATTCCTTACCTGACATTGCCACCTCCATTCTCTCCTGATAAAATAACCAATATATTTTTGGCTGGGAGATACAACCTTGTGCTTCCAGATAATAAATGAAATCATGTTGAGGGCCAGAAAGTTACATGTTAAATACTGGCTGTGGAACCACTGAATATCCATCACCACATAAGGAACCGATAGGTCACTAGGAGGTTCAGAGCTTTTTCCAACTCATAAGTGATGCAGAGCCTTACTGGTCCTTCCGTGCCTTTTACAATAGCCAATAAAAAGCCTGTATTTAGGTGGTGGGATTGTGACATCATCAACAAATCTAGCCAATCTCCCTGATGGTTATTTGAATAGTTTACTCCTCCTAATCCAATGGAACCCAATTTCTTTTAAGGAGAGCATTGAGTGGAAGTGGAAATATCCAACAGAATGGGAAGAAAATTACATTAACAAAGGAATATTTGTAATGATGTTGGTATCAAAATAGAATGATCAAATTCATTATATCTAGTCCCTCTAAATAGAACTTTTAGCTTTCAAGCAGTCAGTATGTTAAATCTTAAAATAGCTCTCTGGCACTTACCTATCCATTTAATGTTTAAGATTTTTTTAAAAGAATTTCTGCAGTGTAGGAAATCTAATTTTCTTGAATAATCTGCAAGCCTGTTGCTATAGGCTAAAAGAAAAAGAAGACTTTTATTTCTCAGACTTAATTGTTTTTACAAAAAGAAAAAAAAATCTACTCTACCTGTTGATCTTGGCACCTTATCCTCTATAATTAAACCTTCATCAGTTTATCAAACTAAATGAACTGGCTGTTGACAAGAAAGCAGGATTCCATAAACCTGCTCTTTACCCCCTTGTTTATATACCTACTGGTTTAGCAAATTTGATGCTGCCGGGAGTGCCCACCTTCCATTAACCTAACTGGGATTTTCTATTGTCAGAAAGTATTAAGGTTAGTGGGACTATTCTACTTTTCTCATGTGACAGACACGGTGCCTGGACAAGTCTGTTAATTATGTTTCACTCAGGTTTACCGAGCACAGACTTTGTGTCAAGCATTTTCACATGAATTATTTATGTAAGGATAGATATTATTAGCCTCTATTTATAGATGAGAAAACCAATGATGAGTGAAAGTAAGTGATTTGGTTGCCCAAGAACACACAGGAAGTAACAGAACTGGAATTCTTACATGGATTTTCTGATGCCAGGAGCAGTGTTAAACCCACTACACTGTGTTACCGTGTTATTTATCTGTGATTACCTAGTTGTGCCAAAGCAACAAAAAAAAATGCTACTCCTACATGCTGACTATCAGCTCCTGCATTGCAAATCTTCAAATTTTTGTCTTATCTTGAACATCAAAATATAGTATGTGCCTGTATTTTCCCAGAGAAGCTTAGAACAATCTACCCCTTTAAACAAAATTTCTATTAGCCAAAGTACTTTCAGGTCTACTTATCTTAGGTACTTAAGAATTTACTATGGCTAATGAAAATTTGCTTCAAACAGGTGGTTGTAAGTCACACAGGTCTCTACCCAGACTTCCCACCCAAGCTTCTTTGGCAGCAGGCTCTTTGTTCTATAATATGATGCCCATTGCTGTTGAGTCAATTTCGACTTGTAGCGACCCAACAGGACAGAGTAGAACTTCCCCGTGGGGTTTCCAAAGCTGTAGTGTTTATGGAAGCAGACCGTTACATCTTTCTCCTGCAGAGCTACTGGTGGGTTTGGACCATCAACCTTTCAATTGGCAGCCAAGCACTTAACTACTGTGCTACCAGGGCTCCTTCTATAATATGATACTCAGTGAAAATCAGAAATGTGTGGGACACATTTGAGCTCCCAAAGATATAACCAATGGAGTCGAATGTGCAACCCTTTTGAAAATAGAGGACATCTTTGATAATAGCTGTAGCTGTGGCTCTTATTCTGCGCCAGGCAATGTTCTAAGCACCTTACGTATATTATCCAACACTCTGTGAGGCAGGTGCTGTTATCATCCCCACTTTCCAAATGAGAAAACTCGGGCATGAAGAGGTTTGATAACTTGCCCCTGATCACATGGTCAGTGGAGAGCAGAGCCAGGATTTGTCCCCAATCAGTCTGACCACAGAGCCTGAACTCTTAGCCACTATGTTACATTGCCTCTCCAAATGGAATATAAAGTATTTGCTGATTCATGAAAAATAATACAGACTTTTTCATAGGCCTCATCACACCTTGATAAATATGGCCACAAGCTGGAAATTTGGCCATCATGCTATTTGTATAAAAAGACATAAAAATCAAACTCAAGGCCAACTTCAGCTTAGTCTAGAAACGAGGAATAATTCCAAATCATAATGGTCTCCATTTCCTTAAAGATTCACACTTAATCCCACCACTTTTCCTCAGTTTTCAGTCTGGTTGTGAACTTGTGTCAATGTGTGTTCACCTTCTGCTGCCCAAGACTTGCCCAGTGTCTGTGGGGCCTCTGCACTTTTACATGTTTCTGGGGCAAGTCCAACAGGGGGCAGTATACTCCTCTGTCTGACACCTGGCGCCACAGGAACCTGCACCCACGGATTCTGTCTAGACCTGCCACCGTCTACACTGGCATTCCGCCTTTCCCTCACCATCATAAGTGGGCTTGTGGCATTGTGTTTCCACATCGTGCCCAATACTGTGTAGAGAATGTGCGGGGGGGGGGGGGGGACGGTTCTCCATTCCCAGCCCATCCTAAATTCCTATCTTCTAACACTGGAGCTGCCTAGTTTAGAAAGTGGCTGCTTTCTTTACTGAAGTAAATTCTTAACAACTTAGTCTCTTTTAGGATCACAAGAAAGTGAGTCGTTGGAATGGGAAGAAGACAGAACAGAGAGCCAGCAAACTCACAGACTAGCAGGACTGAAGTGAGGCTAGAATGGCATGATGACTGTGACAGAGACTGGTGAAGTGCAAAGTCCTTTAGAGATCATCTCTGAGACTCATACACGGAGTGGCCCCTTCACCACGGTCTAGACCTATTGTTTGCAAATTTTGGCGTGCATCAGAATTACCAGAAGGACTTGTTAAGACACAGATTTCTGGGCCCACTACTTTTGATTCAGTAGGTCCGAGTGGAGGCCAAGAATACGTATTTCTATCAAGTTTCCGGGTAATGGGCATGTTGCTGGCCCTGGGACCACACTTTGAAAACCACTGATCTAGGACTGCTGGATGGGCAAACCCACCTTATCCAGAGCAGGCATACAGTAGGCACTCAGATAGGGTTGCTATTATTCCTAGGCGTCATATCTTGGAAACACCAGCATTTTGCTCTCTTCTGCCTCCAGATTACTCAGAGCAGTTTGGCTGAGGTTTATGGGAAAAGAGATAGCATTTCTTTCCTACTCTCCCATTATGCATCAATCTCCGCCATTAACAACCCCTTCTTATTTAAATGCTGCTTCACAGTTTGCAAGGTATTCTCACATACATTATTGCTTATAAAAATGAAATACCTTCCAATTTCTAAGCATAGAGCTAAGTAAGGATTCACATGAGATAGGTACTTAAAGCGGCGGGAGGGGCAGTGGGGCAGAAGAACATCCCCTCCCCTTTGCATTTGCAGCTCTGAACATAGGCATAGGTTTGACTCAGACTAAGCATCCTGGAGGGGATCGGTGTCTCTCTCACTGAAGGGATGTATATAATGTGCAAAGTTACAGCAAAAAAGCAGTGATGATAAACATCCCCATCGTGCCTCCACCCAGCTAAATAAAATGAGTGGGGGAAATCCCGGGAGAGCTTTCACTGGGAGGGTCCCTCACGCATCTGCTAAAGCCGCATCTCCCACCGCCCTCCACGTCAGCCCCTACTCCGCAGCCGGCTCTCCGCAACGCCCAAACGCAGCAGCATCGCCCTCCAGACCTCTCCTGGGGGATCGCACAGTGCAACCAACCCTAAAAACGTCGCGGTGCGACGCCCCCTCAGCCCTCCGCGCCTCCCATTGGCTAGTTGACATTGTCACTCCCCCCTTGCCTCGCCTTCCCCATCCCGGGCGGAGGCAGACGGGCGGGCGGGGTAGGTTGCGCGCTCGCAGCTGGGCTGTGGCCGCGGCGGCAGCTTCGCTGCAGCCAGCGCGACGGGCGGGCGGGGAGGGGCCGGGCGAGCTGCCGGCTCCTTGGCCGGTCCATGAGGGGCGGCGGCCGCCCGGCAGGGCTGCGGGCTGCAGTCGGCACAGAGGGCGGCCGACGAAGCGCTGCCCCGCTGGCTGCCCCATGCCTTGCCTTGCCCAGCGGCCGGGCCAGCCGAGAGGGATGCGCTGGGCCGCCCAGCTCCCCTCCGCCCTACCCATGCCCTGAAGCAGAAAGTTTGAGGGCCGGGGGCTGTCTTCCTCCTCCCCCTCCAATGACTGCCCAAGGACTTCTGCTGCCCAGCCTCGACTGTGACCTGCCTTGGGCTCCCCAGGTCGTAGTGAACTATTCCAAGCTGTAACCAAGGCCCCCCTTCCTCGTCCCTCCCTCACCCTCCTTTATTTTTATGTTTTTTAATTTAAGAAATTATGATCCGCCAACTCCCCTCCTTCTTAATAATTTAAACCCCTAGCTTCATTCCGGAGTGTAAGGGGGGTGCGGTCTCCCCCAGGACGGTGCGCTGGAAGGACACATTCCCCTTCCCGACCCACGTACACCATGAAGAGCTGCAAATCGGACGAGCTGCAGCAACAGCAAAGCGAGGAGGATGGAGCTGGGCTGGAAGATGCTGCTTGCCACCAGCCGGGCGCGGACCTCCGCCCGGGGGAGGGCACCGGTGCTAACTCTGCTGGCGGGCCAACTTCAGATGTAGTTGCTGCTGCGGCGCCCAACCCGGGACCCCGAAGCAAGCCTCCTGATTTAAAGGTGAGCGCAGACCCTCCTCTGGCAAGCCTAGCCAACGACTTAGCTTTCCCCACCCCACGCAGAAGTGCTTTAACAGGATGAAAGTGAAGGGGGAGCGAGGCAGAGGTCAGAGAGGATGAGCGGATGAGTGGATGTTCGGCTAGAACCCGGGGCTGTACGTCAGGTACCATTCTTCTTGCCTCTGTCTTTCAGCTCCATTTCAGGCCTGGGTGTTTGTTCCCTATTATTCAGAAGACGTTCTAGTGACTCACCCATTCGAGGAAATTGTTTGAATAATGTGTGAGAAGTGCTAGTCATAGACAAAGGGCTGGAGAAATCCAAGATGCTAACTAAAAAGTTGACATCGTTTTCCTTTCTTGTAGGAAGGCAGGGGAAGAAAATTAGAGCCTGGGAGGCAGAGCAGGCCACCGTTAGTTTCCTTTGCTGAATTGGTTTCCTCCCTTTGGGGTCTTTGAGGGCCTTCCTGGCCCTCAGTTTGTCCATCTGTGAGGGGGGTGGGGGGGAATGTGGATTTCTTGCCATTAGGTGGAGCCAGAGGTCCAGCCAGTGCTTGGAGATCGCTGACAGCCTGAGAACCAACCCCCAGGGTGGAGAACTGACAGGTGGCACCAGTGGAGCTCGGGGCTAGTTTGGGGCCTCGGTTCAAATAGCACACAGGCTAAGCCAGCAGCTAGAACCAGGGTCTGGATGTACCGTCACATGCAGCTGGGAGTCGTTTATTTTCTCTCCTGAGGTTGCTGAGACCATTGGCCAGCTGGGAATATACACTTATATCGGTTAAAATAGCAGCCAAGATAAATAATGCACCTTTGCTGGAGCAGCCGCAGGGAGTGCAGGCTCAGGCTTCTCAAGCCGGCTCATCGCCGGGCTTAGAGAGATGTCAGCCCCAGGAAGGAACTACGATGCCTTGGAGATTGATGCGATGCCTCAGGGAGATTTTCTCTGGAGGGGGTGCGGGGTCTGGGCTAGTGGAGCAGAAGGGACTAGGTTACATTAAATAAAGCTGTATCCTATGGTAGCAGCCGCTTAGGAGCTCACCAGAATAAGCCAATGACATTCCTCCTTTGGTTTGAGCGGCTCAGAGTCAGGAAGCCACTGGGGCGCAGGTGAGTATGCTCTTACCTGTGAATGTTACCTGTCTGTGTGCTTGGGGAGGGGTGAGAAAGGGGACAGCTAGCTCTTTGTTTTATGCACTTTTAAAAAATTGTGGCAGTTACTCGAATCTGACCTCTGATTCTGCTGCTGTCCTTTACAGAGGTTTGGGGCTCACCTTATGTCTAAAAGATAAGCTCCATTGGGTGAGCTCTGCATAGAAACTTGCCCTTTAGTCAGGCCCAAGGAGCCCACTCTGTGTGGTCAGGAGGTGTGGTTCCTGTTTTAAGTGAGAGGGAGAAGGGAATGGAGTCCCCTTGACACTGTTGTGGGCAGGGGTCGAGTCTTCTGTGGCAGACTTCAGTCTCATTCTGGGCCGGTCCAGATGACTCCTTGACCAGATGGGATCCTCTCCCTGAGTCCTGGAAAGGCAGCCTTGGAAACTACCCTCCACACTGTCCAGCTCGGAGATTCCAGGCCAGCAGTGGAGACGTCTGCTTCATTCCTTTCCCTCCTGAGCTGGTCATGGGGTGGGGGCTGCACCATTCTTGTCTCTGTGGATAAGGCTGCCTTAAGAAGCTCGCTCATGTCCACAGTCCTCTAGGACCTCTGTCTCTCTTTATGGTGACACCTCATTCTGATCAGGGGCAGATGGAACAGCAACTGTGCACTTGATATTAGCTGCTGAACTTCCCTCAGCCAGAATTGATATCTGGTGTGAGAAAAGGAATCCCCCGCCCCCTAGAGAAAAAATACCATGAGGTCGATCCCAGCAATTTGGACGCAGACTGACAGCAAGGAGAAGAAAACAGCTACTGCCTGCTCAGTGGGAGCACGGGAAGCAAGAAGGGCCTTTTCCTGTTTATCTCTGTCTGCTTCATCACAACATGTTTACAGGGCAGGGACTTGAGAAACAAGCGTGAACTTGAGGCCATCAAAGTCTGATTTGCTGTGTGGTTTCAGACAAATCACTCCACTTTTCTGAGCTTCTTTTCTGGGAAAGGGGCTAGGAATATTGGAATGTGTCCCAACTTGTTTCCCAGGCATAGTTATCCAGTGATGGAAAAATTCCGTCGTTGGCTCTGGAACTGGGTAGAAACTGGTTGGTTTTTTATTTGATAGTGTTACCAGCAAGGGGCAAGTTTGATTTTTCATACCCCCACCCCCACCCCACCCCGTGCCTGTGTTTGGCCGAGGCAGCTCAGCAGTTCTAGCTTGCTTTTGTTTTCATTTTAAACTTTGGGGTTAGGTAACTTTTGGTTTCTTAGTCCCGGCTTCTATTTTTTTGTGACAGCTTCAGGCATTGTGATGGATTAAGTGCACTGGAGGAAATCATCTTTGAGAAAGGGGGAAAAAATAAGAGGTTCTATCTGAAGCACCTCCATGGAGGAGAGAATTTTGGTCTTTGCCAAAGAGGTCTGGACGATGCCCTAACTATTGGCAGCCAGTGGTTCCAGGGACTCCTCTGGTCTACCCTCCACAGCCCTTCATTGTGCTCTGCACTGTAAATTTCTGCTCTGGTGGCCTGCGATCTGTAATTATGGGTGAGGAGGGGCAGTGAAAAGAAAAAACAGTTAAACAGCGCTCTTAAAGGAGCAGTTCTAAAACCGTAACTAAAAAATAACATGAAAATGGGACTTGCCCCCCAGGAGGCTCATGCAGATACTGTGGGGGCCTTCTCAGCTCCTCCACACACCTGATGCGACCTTCGGGGCAGATCTCAGCAGACGCTCCTGCTACAGGAACCCAGCAGTTCAGAGTCACACCCGCAGCCACTCGTGGCTTGGATTCCTGTTTAACCATGCATGTTCATTTCTTGGTTCATTTGTGGTCATTATGCAGTCCTTAAGGAGCCCTGGTGGCACAACGGTTAAGTGCTCAGCTGCTAACCAAAAGGTTGGCTGTTTGAACCTACCCAGAGGCTCCGTGGGAGACACACCTGGCAATCTGCTCCTGTAAAGAGTAGAGCCTAGAAAATTCCATGGGACAGTTCTACTCTGTCACATGGGGTTCATATGAGTTGGAATCACAACCCTGAACTGGTTTGAACTGGTGCAGTCATGGCCAAAGAAGTGAAACCAAAAGAGACCCAAATTTTTACAATTTGGGTGATCCAGAATGATAACCAGAGGGGAAAAATTACAAGCTGAAGCCCTGGAATGCGAGACTCAGAAGAGGCATAGTGAGCCCTTTCAGGAGCCTGATACTTGAGGTTAGATTATTGGCAGGACTGTGGGGAGCAACAACACATTCAAAGTGGCACCATCAGCCGCCGTCATGGAGCAGGGCACTGCTGTTTCCAACTGTGCTCAAAATCTGAGGGGCAAGAGATTTGGTTGCTATGGTATAGCCTTGTTCTCTAAGAGAGAGATTAGGTTTCCAGCAGGGCTTTGACCTGTAATTTTTCCCGTTCCAGTTATCGTTCTGGTTCAACCAAATTTTAAAAATTTGAGTCTGTTCCAGTTTCACTTCCTCGGCCACGACTGAACTGGGAAGAACTGGTTCGAAGCCCTGGTTGGAACTGACTCAATGGCACCTAACAACAACAACATCCAGTCCTTTGCTGCTACCAGGTTTCATACTAGTTTGGAGGAGATGCTACAGAGAGTTTTGACTGGCCAACATACACCAGAAATCTCCAGCCAGAAAACTCAGCTCCAGTGAGAATGGGAGAGGGGAGAAGCTTAGGGAAAAGTACAGGGAGAGAGGTAGAGCATGTATTCCTGTTAAAAATACAGCACGTGATTGAAATTCTGAAATCTAGGATGAGTGTCTAAGCATAGACATCAGCTGGTTTTGTCCTGATGTGTGTTAGAAGCCAGAAGGCCAAAACAAAAACAAAAAAAACCATTGCTGTTGAGTTGATTCTGACTCATAGCCACCCTATAGTACAAAGTAGAACTGCCCCATAGGGTTTCCAAAGAGTGGCTGGTGGATTTGAACTGCTGACCTTTTGGTAGCAGCCAAGCTCTTAACCACTGTGCCACCCTTCCGCCCACTTGAGGAATTTGGCCTTTCCTGAAAGATAGAGTCTGGGCGCAATCCAGAGGCCTTCCCCTGGGCTCCTCCTGAGGTTCTCTTTCCCCTCACAAAAACACCGTGAATCATTTCCCAGGGACTTCTTAACATTTTTCTCGCTGAATACAGATGAGGAGCTCCGAATTCCATTATTCCATTCCTGGTTGTAAGTACTTTTGACTCAAGATTCACTTGATTCCAGTTCGTGTTCTCTTCACAGTACACACTGGTCTTCTTGCCTGCTCAGAGTGAAGAACAGGAAAAGCAATTAGAAGCCAAAACCTGAGAGAAATTAAAAACTGAATCCTTTACTGATGATCGCAGGCCATCAGCCCTCATGAATGGCCCGAGTCCTGTCAGCACACCTGTGGGGAGCCCACTGAGAAGGGCCTTCAGTGGGGAAGGCAGTGCTCCAAATTGTAAACTACAGCTCCCATAGAAAAGTATCTGGTAATATATATAAGTATCTGGTAATATATATGCACGGTTTAAATAGCAGTAGCAAAACAGACACCCACCTACCCACTGCCCAGGTTAAGAAATAGAACATTGACATTCCCAAGAAGCCCCTGTTTGCTTGGTTTTTTTCCTTCTCTTTTTCGTTTGTTTGTTTTCTGGGTCTCAGTTTCTCCATTTTTTAAATGAGGTAGAAGACAAGCTACTACATAGTGCTGTGAGTGGGCTGAAGGAGTGTGTGCGCTCTGGGGCTCGAGGGGAGGATTCTAGTAGAAAAGTCTGGCTACCTGTGGCCTTGCCACATGGTGAGGCTCCCAGCTGTACTCAAGGGATAGGTTCAGGATGGAAGATTCCTGTGATCTCAGGTGGGAGCTCGACCCCTAGGCTAGATTTCATCAGATGGGGTAGGTTGAGATAAGCCTAAGAATAAAGAA